GAAATATAGAGGAAACAAGTTGAGGGTTACCAGTGCCCATTACAGTAGAGTGGAGCTAATATCAGCTGGGTATAACCTTCCTGTGATACACACGGTCGCATGCATGCATGAGGCCTTAGATCCCAACCCAATACCAATCATCATCAAGACCTCTGATCTCAGCTACAATGCACTGGAAGTTCACTTATAGGTTTCTAAAATTTAAATTTGAAAAGAAAAAAAATGCATAGATGAGATGCCCATGACGAAAAGCTTAATCCAGGCAAGATGCATGTGCAGGGATGAACCCCACTGGCTGGACTCCTAGACCTCATCATGGGCTCCCCTGGTGCAGGCTCTGTCTGCTGTTGCCTGTGCTTCTGAGGGCAGAACTCTTCCCAGACTGTACAGTAGTGACCAGGTCACCACCACCACCACACCCTCTCCAGCCTGGTTTCCGCTTCACTCTTACTCTAACACACACTGTGGACTCCACTTTGCCCATGCATTCCTTAGTCACTTCTTTATGTATAACTACTTCTTTTATCATGACATCAACTTATTATAATGTAAAACAGAAAAGCAGAGAGTTTAAAACACTCATAAATCAGTTTCCATTCCCACAGAAGACCCACCCACCCACCCCCGTTTTCTCACTGTTCTTCTGAGTGCATTTTATATAGCTGAGATTGGGCTTTACATAAAATACTTGTCTTTGGCCAGAGGGATGGCTCAGCAGTTAACGATGCTTGCAGAGACCTGAGGACAGTTCCCAGCACTCTCATTGGGCAGCTCACAACCACCTGTGACTCCAGCACCAGAGGATGAGACACTCTCTCTGGCCCCCACAGGCATTATATGCACATGGTACACACACACACACACACACACACACACACACACACACACATACACAGAGAGAGAGAACATGCATACACACAGATACATACACATACAAAAGTTTGTATCATGTTTTTCACTTAATATCGATCACCAGAATTTTCAGTGCCATTAAAAAAAATACCAACAACTGTCAACACCTAGTCACAAGTACTTTTTTGAACAGCTTTGTAACATTCGGTCAGTCAGAGGCAGTAGGGCTTCTTTTTGCTATCCCATGGTTATCTGGTATCCATCTAGTCTTTCTCTGTGGCAAACAGTGTTTCCTTCCTGAGTATTTACTTCATTCCATGTACTGCCGCAGAACTGATGTCTAGACTTGAAGAAAATAGGTTGAAGTGCACTCACACTTTTAAGAGCGTAGACAAACATTGCTGTACTGCTGTAGAGTCTGTCACCCTGACTTTGATTAACAAGACTGGACCTCTCCTGCAGCTTGGCTGCTGGGATCAGAACACCTCTGGGAAGGTAGGACCCTTGAGGACCCATGTAACTGGAGGTTTTTCTTGTCCTGCCAGGTCCAACAGCCACTTCAGCCCCAAATAAACACACAAAGACATATATCAATTATTAAACTGTTGGCCGATGGCTAGGGCTTCTTATTGGCTACCTCTGTCTTATTTATTAACCCATTCCTATTAATCTATGTATTTACACGTGTTCTTATCTTACTGGAGAAGGGTCTGGACCTGTTACATCTTCCTCAGCTACATGGTGTCTCCCGGGTACCTCTCTACCTACCTTTCCCAGAATTCTCCTTGTCTCTTAGTCCCGCCTATCTTCCTATCTCATTGGCCAAACAGGTTTTATTTGTCGACCAATAGGAGAATCACATTTACAGAAAGACACCTCCCATCAGACCCTGCTTCTGACCCTTAACCTCCCACAAGGTTCTGTCCTCTCTGGTGGACTCTGGCTGCCTTGGCCTCCTGCTCCATAGGTCTATTTCCATCTTTCTCCCTGGATCATCTGAACTCAAGTTCATGGTCCCATTGGTTTCCACACCCTTCGCCCTTAACCATTTCCATGTGTCTGTTTCTTTAGCTGGAACCCCAATAAATGTGACCACATGCAATAGTCAAATACTCATTTCCTGTCCAGGGTCCTAAGGCCCTGGAAGAGGAGGAAGTAGCGGTCAGGGGGATGTTTAGACAGTTTTGTAGCATGAAAAGTAAAACCCAGAGACAGGTTTTGGGGTTCAAGCTTCAAGCAAAGCAGCCAAGCCAGAAGATCTTACCTCTACCCAGCTGAAATGTCAATCCTGTCTCCATGAATCCTCAGAGGCAAAAGCTCTGAATTCTTTATATTCCTTTCTCTGCCCACCCATATCACTCCTGTCTCCACCTCCCGAGTGCTGGAATTAAAGGCATGTGATCCCAAGAACTGGGATCAAAGGTGTGAGCTCTGTCACTCTTCACTCAAGGGTGGCCTTGAACTCAGAGAGATCCATCTGCCTGTCTCTTGAGTCCTGGGGTTAAAGCTGTGTGCCGCCACTGCCTAGCTAACTAGTATGGCTGCTGGGATTAGGGTGTGTACCACCACCACCACCTGACCTCTATAACTTGTGGCTGGCTTTGCTTTCTGAATCCTCAGGCAAGCTTTAATAAGTGATAAATAATATATTACTGCACGCCTCAATGACAGCAGTGGCAGTGTTTCAAAATATCGAGGTGAGAACGGAGCCATATTTTATTTACATGCTTCTAGTATACAATAACCTGAATAGGACAGAGCCATGGCTTCTCATCTTAAATTTCCCCGCCCCCTGCCCCCAGAACCTCTAACTTACAGACCCAGGAAAGGTCTCGCGGTGAAGGGGCTAAAGAACACAACAGCTCCACGGCAGATGCGGCAGGGATTTGCCACCAACTACTGCTGGGTGAGGACACAGGAGAGTGTGTCAGATGCAAAGAAACCACTTAGCTGTTCAACGCCAGGCCCACCCTAGTGACTGTCCCGTCCTGCTTTGCTTTCCACCACTGTGACAGACACGGAGGTAAGAAACAACTTGTGGAGAAAAGGACTTATTGGCTAACACGTGACACTCCAGCGAGGACACGCGTGACACTCCAGCACCGAGGGAGGCGAGGACAGAAACTCAAGGCAGGAGTCGGCAGATCCCGGTGACTTCAAGGACAGCCTGGTCTACAGAGCCAGTTCCAGGACAGCCAGGGCTGTTACACAGAGAAACCCTGTCTCCAAAAACAAACAAACAAAGCAAACATTGAAAACTAAACAACAAAATTTAGTCTGGGTGTGAAAGGAGGTGAATTTCTGGTGTTTCTCTTTCCTGTAAAATGCTTTGCCTTCACCGAGTGTCACCCTCTGTGGAACTTCCTTCCTGTAAGCTCAAGTGTTAGAGTTACCTTTTACCTTGAATTCCCAAAGCTATATGTAGGAGACCAAAGGCTTCCTAAGACCTACAAAGACACGCTGCCACTCATTGTGCTGAGTAAGGCTGCCTTTGGGGCTGGGTTTTCCTTGCCTCTCCCCCAAACAAGGCGAAAGCCAAGGAACCGACAGAAGCATGCCTAGAAGGTGTCACTCTGTTCAATGAACATCTTGTGGGAGTAAATACCGATTGTGACACTGAGCCACGGTGTGGGCGGACAGACACACTGTCAGGTGACGCCGGCCACAGGAAGGTTTTCAGTGGCCACCGACAATTGACTCGCTGGCTCAGGGAAAGTAGGTGACGTGACAGGATCTGACAGCAGCATGAGCTTTGTTTTTCTGTCGAGAGGGCAAAAGCTACAGGGGGAGTGAGTTGCCTCACGGGCCTGTGGGGCATGAACACTCAGTCAAGCGTCACAGCATCATCATTTTCTGAGCATCTGCCATTCTGCATCTTTGGGGTGATGTTCAGCCAGCATGTCGGCAACAAGTAAGCAAGACACAAGTTCTGGAGAAGCTCAGCTATGCTTGGTTGAGATGAGACTACACTGCAAGTCTATACGCTTCCCGGGGTCAGGGAGCCCAGGAGCGCCTGCGACCTCCCTCCCAGAACGAAGCCGCACAAACGTGGGGGGGTCTTCTATCCTGAACCCCCACAGACTCAGCTGCACCATGCTCCCCTGCCTCCCTTCCCCCACCGAGAGCTGCAGCACGAGGCCACTTTGAGGCCATTCACTAGCCAGGCAGCCTCGTGCAGTTTGAAAGCTTCTTCCTTATCAAAGTTTCCTCACATGTATAGTTGCTGTAAACACCAAATGAAATAACGTCTGAGAAGAGCCCAGCTCGGCGCTTGATAAAAGAACACCAAGTCAATACATGACATCCCTTCCCGGGATGACACATTCTTACGAAGCAGCCCTCAGAATGCATTGCCCATCAGTCCCTGATACCAGGCACTGCGTCGGTTGTGGCTGAGCTAGCCACACAATACCTGGACACAGGTACAGCTATGACTCCTAGAGGCTTGGAGGGTTGCGACTTCATGCCTTCTAGGCTACATGAAGGCAAGGCTCCAACGGCAAAGGAGAGCTACCCGGCGCTTCTGAGCAGAAGGGGAGGAGGCCTCCCTCTTCGGGGGACCTGGGTGACTGTGGAGAGGAGATGGGCGGCACAGAGGCAGGCAGAGAGCCGTGAGGTGGTCACTGGAGAAGCACACAGCAGCGGGAGGGGTGATGCCTGAAGCAGAAGGTCGCAGCAGGAGGAGCTTCTGAGGAATGTGGACCTAAGCAAAGCAACATGATGGAGGCTGATAAAACTCCCTGGAGATGATGGCAGGCCGCATGCCCACTCCTTCCACCTGCAAACAAACCTGCACTCCAGTGCTGGGTCAGGTCCACCGAGTGCACACCAGACCTGCGACGGAAACTAAGGCTCTGGCCTTCCGGCCCTGTCTCACCAGGGGGCACATTGCTTGGAAATGGAATTATGGGAGGTCTGGGAGCACAGTAGAAGTTCGAGGTTGAATCAGAGCCCGCCCCTTGCTGGCTGTTGGGGACCAGTGAGAGAGAGGAGGTTTCTTCCTTTCCCACAGGCTCATAGTTTTGAACGCTAGGTCTCCCAGCTGTCAGAGCTAATTGAGAAGAGACTGAAACCTTTAGGAGGTGGGGCCTGGGTGCAGGAAGTGAATCATTGCTTTGAGATGGTACAGCCTTGCCCTACTTCCTGTCTCTTCTCTCCCTCCTGCTCTGCCAGGACGCAAGGCATCCTAGCCACCCACTCTTGCCACCACAAAGCTGCCTGCCCCATGCCTTCCCCACCAAGATGAACTGTATCCTCCAATAGTAAGTGCAAATAAGCTTTTCTTTACTTCTTGGGTTCGTAGTCACAGGAAGCAGAAAACTAATACAATGGGGAAGAGCCAGTCCAGGCTAAGGATATAATAGGAAAGGTGCCCTCCAGCAGGGGCAGTTCTACCAAGACCTGTAGGGCACCTGGGACTCAGGTTAGCCTATGAGCCATCAGCATCTGCATTCCCAACAGCTTGCTAGAGATAAGATCGTGGACCTCAGCCAAGGCCCCGGAATCACAGCCTGTGTTTGAACCAGGTGCCTAGGCCCCTGTGTGCACACTCTGATTCCAGGGAGCAGCTTGGAGGAGAGTCTCACCAAATGAAGTGAAATGTGGTCAGGTTATGTGAGGGGGGCAGGTGTTCTTGGGTCACAGCACGGGTGAGCATGCCCGTGCTTGTGGTGGTAGGACGGGCATGTTATTAAGGATGCTGGCATTTGTCCCGTGTGGCAGCCACCCTGAGCCAGTGAGTCCCGGAAGTGACTCACAGTGTCCCCCTCCTTTCCCCTGCCAGTTGGGCTTTGTGCGGCTTACTTTATATAGATTTTTGTGTCTAGATGAGGAAAGTCAGGGCCCAGGGTAATTATACACACCACCTCCTACCCTCATAATCCTGGCGCTCCGTGAATGTCAAAACAATAATAAAACAACCAACAAGTCACCGAGAAAACAGGGCTTTCAGCAATAAGCCCCGCATCACTCCGTGCTCCAGGCAGGAGGGAGGGGGAGGAAAAGGGCCTGTGTCTACGGGCTGCTCACCTAGGTCTCTCCTACAAGTGTCTGCATAGCATTGCCCAGATCTAGAACGCTGTATCGTCTCAAATCCACTGTTCAGCCCTTTCCCAAGAATACAGCGTGCATCCCACATTTCCCGAGAACTGCCCCCTATTGGTCCCATAGTTATCTATTTTAAAACAAAGTCAAGGTTTGAGCTAACACTGGAACTAGAATAATGGATGTGTGGGTAAGCTTTCTCAGACAGACGTGTCAGCTCCACTTCAAAATGAGATGATGAGTCTTCGGTATAAAATTATCCAACATTTGGGGTAATTCTGAACGGTTTGACTTCATGTCATGCCATGGGAACCCATGGCCCTGATTCTTTCATTTTCTAAGAGCCATGATTTTTTGCGAAGAAATTGGCCAAGGAAATTTAACTGAAAGAATAAAATAATCGCAAAAAGCACTGGACACTCTCATAATTAGATACAAGATTTTTTTTTTCTGGGATAGAACCCAGCTAATACCCAGCAAGGAAGGCTCAATGAGCAAAGGTCTAAAATGAGGCTAAGAGGAGCTGAGCTGAGCAAATGTGGGGGCCGTGCTGTGGGGGCGCCAGTTTGAGTGGGAGATCATGAGACTCTGACCAGCCGCGGTCTCGTTACGAAGCGGAGAAGACCGATTGAGAAGTTGACGGGTACTTCCTCATCTACTATGACCCCTTTACATCATCAGGCCAGGTTAGCGGGCGGAACAACGGCTTGGTGGTACCAACGGTGAGGGCTGGAGAGACAACTTAGTCAGTAAGGCGCTTGCCACACCAGAAAGAGGGCCTGGTGTGAATTCCCAGCATCCACATAAAAAGCTGGGTGTAGCAAGGCATTCTGGGAAGGTAGAGACAGACAGTTCCCTGGAGCCCCCTGGCCAATCAACCTACTCCCAGCAGCGAGCTCTGCGTTCAGTGAGAAACCCTGTCTTAGAAAGCAAGGTGGAAAGTGATTAAGGCGGACATCCAATGTCAACATCTGGCTTCCGCATGCACGCTAACGCATGCGCAAACCCACGTGCATGCATACACACAGACACCATGAGCATGAGAGGAAAATCAGTGCATGAAGCCTAGGGCTCCTCTACCTTTTCTTACTTTTTTTTTTTTTTTTTTTGGTCCTGAGACAGGGTTTCTTTGTGTAACCACCCTGGCTGCCCCGGAGCTTGCTCATGTAGACCAGGCTGGCCTTGGCTCAGGGATATATGCCTGCCTCTGCCTCCCCAGATTAACGGTGTGCACCACCACCACCCAGTCCTCTCTCTGTTCTTACACAGTCAATCTCAAACTGTATCTCCCCACATCAAATAAGGCCGCAGGCCAATTAGATCCAGAAAAATCCCTCATTGAAGCTATCTCCCCAGATGATTCTAGGTCATGTAACTAGGCAAAACCAGCTATGCAATGTGCTGACCAGCTAGTATACCTCCGTATCCAGAGTTTAGGGTACCAGTATATCAATAAGTACAGGCAGCTCATGCTGAGTCACAAATTTGAAAATGTGAGGAAGTTTATCACCATGTTTTCCTTGTCATTGGGCCTGGTCCTGTCATGAAGCTGTCATGCTGCCCCATCTGTAGCATTCATAGTGTGCTGGTTAGCTACAGTTGGGCTGGCTATAGCAGCTTCTCACTTTCCTCTGAGGCCTCTCTTCCTGACTTTCAGACAGTCTTATCTTGTGTCAGGATGCGGGTATGCCTCTGTGGGTGTCGATAACCTGATCTCCTTGGAGGATCCCAGACATCATCTCTCTAAGAGACCCTATCAAAATACAGTCATGCTCTGACATATTGAGGACTAGGATTGTCGCATTCTGGGGCACATCAGACACTTTTTAGCTAATGAAGACCTTCCTGTCCTGGGTATACACATGGGATGTCAAGAAAGAAGTCCTGGTACCCAGAGAGGTGACTTGAGGGATCCTAAGGAGGCGTGGAGTCCACGCAGTACCAAGGCAAGTCCCTCCTACGGCCTGTGAGTCTACTGTGGATGCCTCTGTAGAGCATTCCCACTCGGAGGAACTCACTGGCCACATCATGAACAAGGGTGATGGAGGATGTCCTTCTGTATGTATGTTTCTCTTGTTGGTTGATGGATAGAATACTGATTGGACAATAGCCAGGCAAGAAGATGAGGAGAAGGCTGGGGAGAGGAAGGTAGAGGGAGGCCACCAAGAGACACCGTGCTGCTGAAGGAGTAACATGCCTGATTACAGGTACATCACAGCCTTGTGGCAATATAGATTAATAGAAATGGGTTAATAATTAAGGCAGAGCTAGACAGTAAGATGTCCTAGCCATCGGCCAACAATTTTATAATTAATATAGCATCTATCTGTTTATTTGGAGTGAATCGGCTGCAGGACCAGGCAGGACAGAAACCTCCATCTTCATAAGGGTATCTTTGATGTTACTTTTTGGTTTTTAATATACGTTCTCCAATTTAAAATGATGATATGGAAGTCAGGTGTGATGGTGCACACTTTTAATCTTCAGGAGGCAGGGACAGGTGGATCTCTGAGTTCGAGGCCAGCCTGGTCTACAAAGCAAGTTCCAGGACAGTCAAGGATACACAGAGAAACCCTATTAACAAATAGATGAATAATAAAATGATGGTATGAAGCTAAAATTATTGAATATTTGATGTTTAGGAATTTTGGCAGGGGATGTCTGTCCTTAGTCCGCTGGTCCACAGCCATGGGCAGCTATGCAGTCAGAGAGTAAAGTGTACAATCATTTCCAGGAATTGGGGTCTGAGTTAATCCAGACCTTGGAGACTTAGTACATCACCATCCCTCCTTGGGAGCACAGACCAAAAGGACCTGGGACATATTTGGGATCTTACCCAACCTGGGTCCACAGACTTGCAGAATGGCCACTTTCCCCCATTGCCCTGGATATTTTCAGTAAAGTTAAGATGGACCTATGTGATCTCCTAGTCTATGGGGAGAGAGTTAAGTGGGGAGGTTCTGCAGAGGTGAGCATCTTCCCAGGTAAGGTAGCACGTCAAAGACAAGATCACACCCCAGACGGGCTGATGGGATGCCACCACAGATGCCGATTCTCTCCATCTCTCTCCTGGCCCCCCTGCTCCTTCAGAGAGTCCCAAGGGAGCCTTGAGGCTGAGAATGGATGAGGCACCTGCAGTGAGAGAGCCCAGGCATGGGAGCCAAGCCTGCACACCCTTTGTGCTGGGGAAGTTTCCAGCATTGGGTGCTGAAGGGAACTCAGCCATTGGTGTACAGGGGCCTGCAGAATTTGGGCATGAGAGCAGGTTAGCACCATGATGTCCCTATGTGGGAAAGCAGCGTCACCATCCCCACACAGGGACCCCTGCACTCAGCTCCTGTGTGTGGGACCTGTGCCAGCCAACAGATTAGTATTCTATGGCTCTCATCTCCGTTGTCCTTTAGCTCGGGCTCCAGCTGTGGGACATCCAAGTCGGCTCGTTCTCGATTTTATTAGCACTTAGCCTCCCAAAAGGACCAAAGTCAGCGGAAATTGTTTCACGAATTACCTCCAGAAGCCCTCGAGTTGCAAGCTGGTGAGTACATCAGAACACTAGAACAGAATTTTCCAGAAAGCATTCTCAGATGGGGGGGGCTGCTTGACTGCAGACACACTCCTCTGCTTTTCCCGTGATGATGTCCCAGGTGGTGACCACAGCCCCTGGCTTCCCACCAAGAGCCATGGCTTACAGTAGAGGCTGCCTCCTTGTTGAACAGGTTTTAGGAAAATAGAGCCCTGACTTTATTTTACCTTCAACATCCGACAGCCAACAACAGAGGCAATTTGAAGGCCCCTTGAATGGCTCAGAAATCAATTACGCCGTCATCTCTGATCACATAGAAGATACAAAGAAGCCAGCAAAAACAGGGAGACAGCACCTTACCCAGTCGAGGAAAAGTTAAATGGAATTAGATTTCAGTCAACAGCTAGATTATAGTATCATGTTTCTGACAAGATTACAAAAAGCAGATTAATCCTCTCAGTGTACCTTAATTGTGGGAAAGGCTTCCATGCCCGAAATCCAATGAAAGTAGATGGCAGGGACCATGAGGAGAAATGGCTGAGTTATAGCATGGGGAGATCAGTGCTAGGGTGCAGGCATACGCCCAAAATACGCCTGTAGCAGCAGATGACTAGGGCTCCAAAGCCCTCAGCCAAAATTCCTAAATAACAAACCATCCAACAACTTTAACTCCATACCATCACTTTAAATTGAGGAAGATATATTAAAAACCAGAAAGCAACGACACAGATGACCGTGTTCATGATGTGGCCAATGAGTACCTCTGACGGGGAATGACTGTATTTGGATAGGGCATCTTAGAGAGGTGATGTCTGGCACCCTTCAAGGAGATCAGGCATAATTGTGTCCTGACACAAGGGTTAGACTGTCTGAAACCACAAAGAGAGGCTCAGAGGGATCCAGGCTGCCCGCAAAGTGGTCTTGAGGTGTAACCCCCAGGACTGAAGGTGCAGAGGGCCTATCGCAGTGAAAGGACGCCGGTACACAGGGGCACGCAGGGGCACGCAGGGGTACGCAGGGGCACGCAGGGGTACGCAGGGGCACGCAGGGGTACGCAGGGGCACGCAGGGGTACGCAGGGGTATGCAGGGGCACGCAGGGGTATGCAGGGGCACGCAGGGGTACGCAGGGGTACGCAGGGGCACGCAAGGGTACGCAGGGGCCCGGGATGACTTCCCAAGTGATAAAGCCATGGCCTCACGGTGTAGTGAGTTTACCCTGCCAGACCCCACCCCTGCCCTATAGCATCGGCCTAGCTGCAGCTGATTAATTCCGATGGCATAGAGACCCTGCCTTCCGCACTCAGCTGTCAGGTAAGGGGCCCCTGAAGACGGCCGGGACAACAGATTTCCCAAACAGCAAGCCCCCCACAGCTGAGCCCCCACAGCTGTCACCACCTAAAGATACTTTACTTGGCAAGCAGGTCACACTTGCCATTCCAGTATTGCGGGAAGGGAGGCTCCTGGGTGTCCCAGGGCTAAGTCAGTCGGTCTGAGAGACATTAAGCTCTGGGGACCCTTTCCAAGGCTCTGACAGAGGGGACTGTGGGGTAGAAAGCCCTTGCTGAGGAGACACACACTGTGACACATGCAGCGAATGGGAGGAAGGGAGGAGGGAGGGAGAGAGGGAGGGAGGAGGGAGGGAGGGAGGAAAGGAAGGAGGGAAGGAGAGAGGGAGGGAGGGGGAGGGAGGGAGGGAGGGAGGGAGGGAGAGAGGGAGGGAGGAAGCCTAGTGAGCAGATTACCTCAAGGGAAGAAACCTCATTTATGTTCCATTTACATGGAGAAATGAAGCTCTATCCATACCTCTATACACACCTGAAAGGTGACCCCACATGCATGCATGAAGTGACCCCACACACAGGAAAAGTGACCCCACACACATGTGAAAAGTGATCCCTCCCTCCCTCACACATGAAAAATAACACTCTCTCTCTCTCTCTCTCTCTCTCTCTCTCTCTCTCTCTCTCTCTCTCTCACACACACACACACACACAAAGTGACACAGGTACACAGCCTCGCTCACCCACTGTTTATGAAGCACACAAATATTTGCATGGTCCCACACATTCCCTTTGGCAAATGACCCTGAGGGTATATTTGCCAGCTGTCAAGTTTAGCTGAGACCCCATGGCCATCTGTAGGCCCCTCTCAATGACAACAGCAGTTGGCAGAGGGCATTAGTGCCCTGGCAGCCACAAGTCCCCCTGTAAATTCTCTCCACACCACATCACTGGACCCCAGCCGACCCCAGGCCAAGGACAGGTTCTGCAGGCAAGCCTGTGACTCTGTTCCTCTGTCCCTGAGCCTGAGGCCGCAGAGGAGAGGTAGGACCTTGAGTAAGGTTGGGCAGACTGGCCTCTCATAAGCCCCTCCATGGTGGGAGGGGTCTGCCTACTTGCTCCTGTTTCCTGCCTCCTTTGCTGGGAGCAGGAGAAAGCCCGATGCCCCTGGGGCTTCTGTCTCAGCCTGCGTTCTACAACATTCCTCCTTCCCTGACCTAGCTTCTGCTTCCCATCGGCTCTGTCCTCCACTGCTTATTCAGGACCTGAGGACGGGGCCGCTGCGGCTGGCTGCTGCCGCCTCTCCTCCGTGCCCACTGCCCGCAGGCGGCCAGCCCCTGCCGCACTGTCTGACTCTTGAAAGTATCTTTAAGAGGAAGACATGAGCTCAGGGTGTCCCTTCGACGGTGCTGCGGCTGTCCTGATCATTTATGGATGTCAGATGCACCAAACATGGCAAGGCGGTGGCACTGTAGGCCTCCAGGGTTCAAGGCCATGTGCCACAGTTCTACAACAGAGAGCTTGAGGCACAGAGGTTGGGCTCTTGGCAAAACCATCGCCTTTTGAAAACTCCTGGGACTGCTTAACACTGGTGAAGCTGAGGTCCCGTTCACTCTCCTCCTCCTTCCAACCTGGCACACAGACTGATACCCAAGAAGAGCCAGCCGTCTGTGAGGTAACCTAGAAACCCCTCGCCAGGGCAAGGACGGAGAGTCAAACCGTCAAATCCCTAGCCACAGCCTCAGCCCCCACGGCTGCTCCTCCAGCCCCTCTATGAAGCTGACATGGGTTCCTATCGTGTAATCAGGGTCCTCCCTAAGAGTGTGTGTCTTGCAAGGACAGGCTCCTGTGCCCAGGCAGAGGCCAGACGGAGGTAGGCAAGATGAGGCCCGTGGCTGCCATTTTGACACGGGGCGGTCGGCTGGCAAGCTCGCTCTGCCTTGGTGGTGAGGAGTAGGGAGGGGCGAACCCCGCTGCTACTTAGGTGTGCAAGTGTTGGAATTCTATTTCCTCTTTGATGAAAAGTTTAAGATTTTCCTGCTGTCACAGAACAAAGGGAGCCGTGACTTCTGTTCCCCCGTTTGCACAGCTGACTTCATGCGCTTTTGACAGTTCCATTGCGCTTCCGACAGCTGCGAGGTCCCCCAGGGGAAGTGAGTGGGGGGCTCATCACTGAGCCAGGCTAGCTCTTCCAGAATGTTACCCTTTATGGAGCCTAAAGAATGTTTTTACATGAGCACGCTTTGTCTTGGTTTTAGGGGGACGAAAACAGCCACACAAATCATTAATGGGGACAATTGCCCTCATAGTGACTCGGAACTGTCCTGTGACGAACCACTTCAAGATGCAAGCTATGAAGAGGTGAGCCCTCCAGGAGGACAGTCGACCCTTTCTCCTCCTCTCAGTGCTGGAGAGGGAACTCAGGACCTTGTGCACACAAGGCAAGTGCTCTATCCCTGAGCCACACCCCAGTGTACCCTTTAACACCATTACCCAGTGGTCCCTGGGAGATGCTCCTAAGAGATACCTGTGCTCTGCAACCACACCGCCATGTGTCTTTCTCCCTGCGGCAGGCACTGTGTGCAGATGCTGAGCTACCCTGGAAGGGCCACGACAAAAAGACAAATCCCTCCATCCTCACCACGAGGGGTGGGGGGGACTGACCTTCCTTGGAGAATCACAACATCCACACTGTGGAAAGGACGGCACCAGGAGGACTTCTAAGGAAAAGTGAGGGTGGGTCTGAGTCAGTGCCCCTGTCTCTACCCCCACCGGTCTGGGAAGACCACCCTCATGGCCTGAATCATCTTCTGCATCCCTTACCTCCACCCCTGAGTCCTGGGTACATGCAGGGGAGAACCTGGTGCTTGGACCAAAGGTGTGCTTTTCCTGCGTGACTCCTCCCTGCACTTCCTCTGATGCACGGCTCCCTACAGGGTATGCATGGATGAAGGCAAGGCCAGCTTCCAAGTCAGAAACAGGAGCTAAAGGGAAGCCACAGAAGAAATGGCAAAGGATCATTCTCAGTACTCAAGCTATGCAAGGCTCCGAATAGTGTGCCTGCTGGGCTTATTGTGGAGGTGTAATGAGTTGCCTGCCCCCCCCCATAATCTTGGTAATTTGCATACCTGGTCCCTGGGCTATAATACTATCTGGGAACGGTTAGACAGTATGGCCTTGTTGGAGGAAGGATGTCACTGCCAGCAAGTTTTGAGAGTCCGTAGTTACACCTTTTCTAGTTTCTTCTTTCTTTGCTGTGCTTGCAGTTCAAACCATGGGCCCTCAGCTTCCTGCCCCTGCTGCCTTGGCCTTCCCACCCCTACCGCCATCGTGGACTCTAACCCGCTATAATCATAAGCCCAAATAAACTCTTGTCACTTTGTTCATAGTGTTTTATCACAGCAACAGAAAAGTAAATGATACATTTATCATTGGCTTTTGTCAATGATACATTTATCATTGCTGTTTGTAACCAGAGACCAAATGTACAACCAAAACCAAAGAACCAGCTTCTCCCAAAGAACTGATAGCCACCAGGTCTGGGCTCACAGTCTGGTACTGTCTTGTAGCAAGTCAGCTATTAGAACAAGCCACATCCAATTTGGTCTGTTTCAGAATCAAGAAGAAATCAGAGATATCACCTCTGCTAAAGGAACTTGTCCCTGTATAAGCTGTTTCGACAGAAATGCGAGCTCCCTCCTAGCTTCTCTGCAAATACATAATGCCATCCACTGATTGGATTCTGAGCATCATGTTCCAAGATTGCCTCTATGAAGCCACAACTCAAGCTCTCTGGATCACAGAGCTCTGCGATTTCCACGTGGGCACGGAGGCAGCAGCTTGCTGCCATATGCTGTTTGGTAAATGTCTGTACATGACTCCAAACAAAACACCATGCCAAGCTGGCCGCGTGAGCAGGCACGCAGGCTGCTCATCTTAACTCAATGCATTCCACTTCCCAGAGAGATACTGAGGGAACAACCATACCCCACCAGAGAGGTGCTGCAGTGGGCAGCCATCCCTCGTGACCGTCTGAGGGCCACAGGCCTTTGGAAACAAACAGGAGTGGACTTTATCAGCCCAATTTGTATCTTGCAGCCAAATGTAATCCATGTGCCAGGACAGTGCCCTTGCATAGAGACAGATGGCATTTATACTAAGATTGTCACCACTGAGCTGGGAAATGGGGTCCTAACCAGGTGACATTTTTTTCCCACCTCAAGAGTAAAAGAAGATCAGAGCTGACGATCCCAGATGTCCTATAGTGAGTAACCCAGAGGCAGAAGTGTGGGGTGTTCTGCCTAACCACTGGTGGGTTCAGAGGCCAGCCTCCCTCCCACCCCCTCATAGACAGTATCATTGGAATCTTGTCAGCCACACAATGCCCTTATCTTGCTCCTTTTCAAGTCACCTGATTACCTGGAGAAAATAGAAACAGAGAGAAAAGAGCATGTCCTTGCAGAAGCAGGAATGTCAAGCTTGCTGCCAGACCTCCTTAGCCCTGTTCCTGGAGCCTGGAGGAAATCTGTTTCACGGAGGAGCCGTGGCCACCTGCCTCAGGGCTCAGAGCTCCCATGGGGCTGGCCCTACTGCTACTGTGTACATGTATGATTTCTTTGTTCCCTGAGTCCTGTCCCCAGGCCTCACAAAGGTGGCATGGAAGCAGGTGCACTACCCATACTGCCCGGTTCACCCTGCTGTAGGCTCTGACCCAGCAGGCAAGCACTAGCACAAAAGCCATTGGTTCTCCAAAGTCTACAACTGGGCCGCAGCAAGCGCAGCTCATAAGGCCTCTTCGTGTGGCCTCCCGTCCCTCCCTCACGCCAGCGGCGAGCTGGAGCTGGGGGTGTGTGGGGCTTGAAAGCAAATCGCTGCTCCGAATCCTCTGGGCTCATTATCCCGGGGAACAGTGGAAACATAATGCATTTTCATTTACTTAGCCTTAAATATATGTAAATTAAAGGGTTTTCTTTTATTAAAAATAACACTGAAACTTACCACTGATGTGTTTTTGTTATTCTAAAGAGAAGCGGTACTGGAGGAATGGGGGTCTAATGACATCTCCCATTCAGGCTTGTGTCTTGCTGGAGAGAAAGAGGGCCCCCACCCTGGGCAGAGCACTACATAAAGGCCTGCCCAAGCCACCCTGCAACCTTCTCCCGTGCACATTAATTGCCAGAGTTGTGGTGGAGGGAGCTCACATCATGGTTGGAAGCCTAATTGAAGCCAAGAAAGAAAATAGACTACTGTTCTACCCTAGGAACTGCAGTGTACAGAAGACTGGGGGGCAGGGGTAACAAGCCCCATCACCTCAGCGCACAGAAGCTTCCTAGAATCTTCTAGAAAACAGTCTTTATCCATAGTCCACTGCTCATCTGCAGGAGAGGACCTCACCCTGCACCAGGGCACCTGGAATTGAATGGTGCTGTACGTTTCCAGCTGCCCCATGGACCTCCACACGGTCACCATTCCTCAGGCTCCCCGGGCTGTCTGCTGGCATGAGCCCCTTTCAACTCATGCAATCCCTTCAAGATCATTCCATATCTTCTGCCCAGTCATCCTGCCACTGTCATTCCAGGCCCATTGACACCACCTGAAGGATTGAGTTTTGGTATTGTGTTTTGGTAATGGCAGAGAACACAGCACAAACTCAGCCTTGAGGGTGCTGCCTGTGATCTGTAGTCTCAGATGGTAGTGTTTCAGAACCGCAGAGTTTGTGGGGGACCAGAGGTGATGAAGCCCCTTGGCTTGCGCCATTCTGGACACCTGTGTGTGTTGGGGGAGGGATCAAGGTGTCAAGTAAAACTCAAGACAGAGCATGGAGGGGAGCACCTGTGGTGGTTAATATCGACCCCCAAACTCAAGAACAGAGCATGTAGAGGAGCACCTGTGGTGGTTAATAGACCCCCAAACTCAAGAACAGAGCATGGAGGGGAGCACCTGTGGTGGTTAATATTGACCCCCAGAGTTAACCAATGTGGAATCATCCAGAAGACAAAGCTCTGGATGAGTCCGTAGGCAAGTTTCCAAACCGTTAACTGAAGTAAGGAGGCTTGCCCTCAGTGGAGGCGGCACTAACCCTGGAAGACCAGAGAAGGTTTTCTCTGAAACTCAAGGCCCTTCCACAAATCAGTGTGGGTAGCCTCCCATCCATGGTGACAGGGAGCCCCTGACCTTGCTGCAGTATGGCTGGCATCTTGCTAGATTGCTAAAACTGAAGGTTGTCTGGTGAGGCGCAGCGGGGAAAACACTCTGAAAGAATTGATGATACCTGCTGAAGCCCTCGCATTGTCTCTCAAGCAGACCCACTGAGGGAAGGGCTCTAGCTGTCCCTTCTGTGGTGACCAGACAGTCATGAGCATCACAGAACAGGGCGATCACGTGAGTCACTGCTACCGTGTTAACCCACCTGGGCCCCTCCATGTTCATTTTCACAAGGAAGCTGACCTCCCAAGGATAAAATCAAGGACTCCCGACTATATCTGAATTCATGACTAAATAGACCCCTATCAGATCTGGGAGGACATGAGCAGAGAGTAGACCCCATCTCCAAAAGTGTGAGGGGCAGTTGCTCACACAGTGGCTTAGAAACAGGAGGTCATTTTGCTCTCCAGGTTATTTGCTATGGTCTAGTCTTCAGGAGACAGGGTGCGGTCGGTACTTTTTGTTATTCTCTGCTGCAGTTACATACCCGACAAAAGCAGCTTGAGGACAGAGGGTTTGCTGTGGCTCACATTTGGAAGGTACAGCCCATTACTGTGTGGAAGGCAGGAGCAGACGCAGGAGGTAGCTGGCCGTGTTGCATCCACAGTCAGTGTGGTGGATGCTGATACCCAGCTCTGTTTTCTTTTATTTGGTCCAGGAACCCAGTTTATGGAAAGATGCTGCTGTATTCAGGGTGGGCCGTCCCAATCTAGAAACTTCCTCACAGGCTTGCCTAGAGTCTTGTCTCCTATCATTCTAATTCTTTCAAGTTGGCAATATTAACCATCATGCGTGACCAGGGACAATTGCCCTGGTTTTTATGGACAACAGATCTCTAAGCCTGAGGACAGGCAATCTCCACCAGTGCTGTCCCCTGCTCAGAGGCTTGACCGACCATCCTTCTCAGTGTCTTTGTAGCCACTTGATGGCCAGCTGACACAGCTTGTAAGCCAACCTCTTCAAGGCTCAGCAGTTCCTTGCTCACTTGGGAGTTGAAAGTTTCTCCTTCTGGCTCTGAAGGTCCCATGGCGGAGGAAACTGCCATTCTCCTTTTTAAACACCTCATGGAGGCAGAAGAAAAACAATGGACCAAGCCGGCTGCCGCCGAAGATGGAGTCACATGACAGGGGAAGAGGACACTAGCTAATCACCCGGTTTTCTCACGAACTCTCTGAACCTCAGCGGTTCCCTTTAGCTAGTGAGCAGCAAAATGAATCTGCCACCTAGGTCTGGGCGTGGGGCTTAGAAGGAAAACAAAGGCAGGGGAACAAGTGATTTAGCTAGATGTTAGTCGCCCAAGCGAGGGAAGTTCACGCATGAAAATGGCTGTGTTCTCATCAGAGCGGAAGGCAGCCTCACACACCACCTTCAGCTGGACCAGTCACAAATGCTTGCTTTTAAATAAGAGAACCGGGTGCCCTGCTAGTTCAGCCAGTAGATGACCATGAGACTCTTAGATAAGAGAAACGCATTCTAAAACAGAGTTTATGAGGAACATTCCTGAACATACCCCAAGCAAAAGCTGCACAGCTCAGGAGAGCTCAGGTGTGTGAGTTCCCGGCACGGTGTGCTACCACACCACACACCTAAGGGACTCACGTGTACCACTCTGGATCTGGATCTTTGGGAGGAGTCTCGGGTGGGAGTGACCCTCAGTAAGCAGTCCTACAATCAGGCCACACGGCTGCACTCACGTGGTCCTGGCAATCCTAAGTCACTCATGGCCATGGCTCATTCATTCCCTTCTTTCAGGCCACAACAAGCCTCTGTAGTCTGCTTCCTTGCTTTGGCAGATGCACATTGGTTTCCAAGTTGCTTTTCCCAAACGCCAGAGTGGACGGAGGAACTTGATGTGAGATCTAGACCAAGGAGGACACTGCCCGCGCTTTCAGCAAACGAGTTGACCAACCATAACGATGGCTTTGTGGTTCTTTGCTTCAAATCAATACATGTCACGTTGAGCATTTGGGAGATCCAGTGCAATTAACAACCAGCCACAGCTTCACAGCAGACATTGAAGGGACCCTCTGATGTCCCCACTTCTCCTCACAGCCAAGGTGGCCCAACAGCTCTGCTTTACAAACCGCCACAAGTGACACGAACATCACCTCCGGCTCACGGGTGTGTCAGAGACGGGTCCCTTTCCCACACTGCACTCTCACTGTTGGCCCCGACCCCTGGGCTGACCGCTCAGCAGGAGCTAGTGAGCTGCTTGGCCACAGTAGGGACATTTGGTCCTAGCCACCTTTACCATGGATTAGACAACCATGGGGTGCTGGTTGCCTGGAAAGAGCCTAGAACACCCAAAGTTTGGCAAGTGTCACCATGTGTCCCCAGTGCGATTGCCCCAGGCCAGGTAAACACTGGAGGTCTCTGCAGATCAGCCATGGAGTCACCACTGTGAAAAGGAGCACGGCGTCAGTTCTGATGCAGTCACAGAGAGGAAGGCCCTACGTCGTCCATCATAGGAAAAGCAGATCATAACGTGGTAAGCTGAGCTTCTTCAAACTGGTGCACTTGGAACAGCCTGTTAGCAGACCGCCTGTGGGTTGGTCGGTACCTAGGCCTGGCTATTGCATTGCCAATGGGCCACTATAGCCACATGACCTAGTATGGGTCCATGTGACCTGTCATCTGCCCACTCAGAAATGACTCATCCTTTAAAAAATAATGATGCCACAGTCTGTCCGTGTCCCTGAGAAAGGCTTGAGTCAGCGTTGCCTATCCTGTCTTCCCCTCGCCCTTCATGGGTGTCATCTGGTCTGCTCTGACAAAGTCAGTAACACTTCTGTTTATGATTTCAACCCACCCCCTCACTGTTGCCCCTGGTGTCCCCGCAGCTGCGGGATGTGGCTTCCAGGGACTGTGCAGCCAGGCAGCCTGTGGAGAGGTGGGCGCCGTGGTGAATGTCTCCTTGGAACCTCTAGTGACTGCCAAGACCCTCCTCAGAGCAAGAGACGTGCCCAGAGAAACAATCCCAGGTGTCCTTTGCCACAAAGGTGAAGGGACAGGAAAAGTGTGGCAGCTGTCAGGGTCTGTCCTGGGGGGGGGGACAGGGGGACACAAAGCTGCCACCTGCCTCTGTCTGCTCTTAAGGCGGGCACTCTGCCTCCTGCTCCTTCCTTCTTTAAATGGGTGGGAATCGGCCCACTTTGCCCTGAAGAGCAGCGAAGAAACACACAATCAGAAATGAAGGAAGTCTTTTCAAGGCTGTTTACTTGGGCACAGCCATGACAAACGTTTCTTTCTCCTCCAGGACCCACCCACAGACAGGAGCAGAACAATGATGCTTGGGGGGCCGCTGGCGGCTGAGGGGCGACGTCTCGGAGCCCTGCCGAGCCCATTCAGCCTGCCCGGGTGCCAGCCTGCGGCGCCAAGCCTGGTTCGCCACTAATTACAATGGCATTGATGAGACTCTGGGAGTTCCTGTGTTTACATAGCAAGTCTCTCAATTATAAAAAAAAAGAAAAGAAAGAAGAAAAAGCACTGATATATCAGAAGAAGAGTGGTTGAGGGGGGAGAAAGTATTTACCTCTCAGACATATTGCTACTGAAAATAGAGCCAAGTTCTCCTGCGAGCATGGCCTCTGCCTCAAGAAGACATCCCAGCAGACTCCAGAGGCACCATGTCTGCCAGCGGACGGATGCGTGTCAGAAGCCCCAGGCTCCAGTTACAGAGGGTCTAACTTATCCGTGCAAGCAAACAACCAAAGTTACATCATTTTAATCAACACCCATCATTTTAATTGCCTGCATCTCCCCCAGAACAAAGTGACACTAT